GGTCTCACCGAAAGAGCGAATCGGTCCCATCGAGTTTACCTGACCAACTCTCTGGTTAGCTAATTACCAGATTCGGTCTCACCGAGTTTGTGTAATCGGTCTCACCGAGATTACGTTATGCCCTAACCCTAATCATACCGGTCCTACCGAGTTGCATGTCAGTCCCACCGAAAACCCTAACGGTCACTAGGTTTACTAAATCGGTCCGACCGAGTTTGATGATTTGGTCTCACCAAGTTTGGTAAATTGTGTGTAACAGTTAGATTTTGTGTGGAGGCTATATATACCCCTCCACCTCCTCTTCATTCGTGGAGAGAGCCATCAGAACAAACCTACACTTCCAACTTACCAGTTCTGAGAGAGAACTACCTACTCATGTGTTGAGGCCAAGATATTCCATTGCTATCATATGAATCTTGATCTCTAGCCTTCCCCAAGTTGCTTTCCACTCAAATCTTTTTTCCACCAGATCCAAATCCTATGAGAGAGAGTTGAGTGTTGGGGAGACTATCATTTGAAGCACAAGAGCAAGGAGTTCATCATCAACGCACCATTTGTTACTTCTTGGAGAGTGGTGTCTCCTAGATTGGCTAGGTGTCACTTGGGAGCCTCCGACAAGATTGTGGAGTTGAACCAAGGAGTTTGTAAGGGCAAGGAGATCGCCTACTTCGTGAAGATCTACCGCTAGTGAGGCAAGTCCTTCGTGGGCGACGGCCATGGTGGGATAGACAAGGTTGCTTCTTCATGGACCCTTCGTGGGTGGATCCCTCCGTGGACTCGCGCAACCGTTACCCTTCGTGGGTTGAAGTCTCCATCAACGTGGATGTACGATAGCACCACCTATCGGAACCACGACAAAAACATCTGTGTCTCCAATTGCGTTTGAATTCTCCAAACCCTTCCCTTTACATTCTTGCAAGTTGCATGCTTTATTTTCCGCTGCCTATATACTCTTTGCATGCTTGCTTGAATTGCGTGAAGATTGCTTGACTTGTTCAAAGATAGCTAAAATCTGCCAAAGCCTAAAATTGGGAAAAGGTTAAGTTTTTAATTGGTCAAGTAGTCTAATCATCCCCCCCCCTCTAGACATACTTCAAGGTCCTACACAAGCGAGTACTTAAAAAATACGCTAGTGCTACTGGACAATTGATCAATCCAGCCAAGTGCTCTATTTTGTTTAGTCACCGATGTAGGAATGTGGACAAGCATGTTGTTATGCAAACTCTGGAGGTGACTTCCGCTAATTTTGAGGAGAAATACCTTGGGCTGCCAACTCTCAATGGTCGCTTCTCAAAGTGGAAGTTACAGAATTTGCAGCAACAACTCACTAAGCGTATCATACAATGGGGAGAATTAATGTCACAAGCAGGAAGGGAAGTTTTGATAAAAGCGGTTGCACATGCACTTCCTACCTTCTTGATGAGTGTCTTCAAATTTCCCCGCAGCACATGTGATGATCTCGGTCGTATGATCCGCATCTATTGGCGGGGTGCAACAAAGGGCAAACGGAAAACACATTGGAAAGTGTGGGATCAGTTACTTAGGGCCAAAGCTTCAGGCGGTATGGGTTTCAAGGATTTTCGTCTATTTAACCAGGCTATGCTTGCTCGCCAGGCCTGGAGGATCATGGCTTTTCCTGACGGCCTTTGTGCTCGTGTACTGAGAGCCCGATATTTCCCGCATGGACGTATGGAGGACACGATCTTCAGCGGGAACGCATCTCAAACATGGCAGTCCATTGTGCACGGTTTGGAACTTTTGAAACAAGGGCTTGTGTGGCGCATAGGTAATGGAGCCTCGGTTAGAGTCTGGCAAGACTCTTGGATCCCTCATCCAACAGGGCGCCCACCCATCTCCCCCCAAGGCCGATGCCGACTCCGTCGGGTGAGTGAGCTACTGGACATGCACGGTGCGTGGCGAGGCAACCTGTTGCGACGCTATTTTCTACCAGTGGATGTGCAAGAAATTCTGAAGATTAAAGCTTCACCGAGATTGGGCGACGACGTCCTAGCATGGGGACCTGAACGCAACGGTATCTTCACCGTGCATAGTGCGTGTCGGCTGGCGCTCGAGGACAAGCTCCGTCCTTCTTCAGTCGCGGCGAGCAGGGCACCGGACGGGCGACATGTCATCTAGGCATCAATATGGAGGTGCCCTGCTCCTCCTAAGGTGTGTGTGTATTTGGATGGAGAGCGCGACAAATTCACTTGCAACTTGGGCTAACAAGTTTGATCGCCACATTGGAACAACTGACATATGTCCGTTATGTGGTCTCGAGCGTGAGGACACATTCCACACTTTTTGTAGGTGCCCGCGTGCAGTGGAATTCTGGCAAGCTATGGCAAAGGTGTGGTGCATCCCTGAGATTACGTCGATGTGTAATACCGGGCCGGAGTGGCTCTTACACGCCATGGCGGACTTGAACAACGGCGATCGACTGCGTCTATTGATGCTATTGTGGAGGTGCTGGCGGAATGAAATTACCCATCATAAGCCAGCACCACCAGTGGAAGCGTCTAAACGTTTTCTGCAGAGCTATGTGTCCTCCTTGTTGGATCTGCAACACTATTCCACAGTGAAGCTAGTGAAAGGCAAGATGGTGGCAGATGAGGATGGTGTGGCTCAGCCATTGTTGCATGCAAAAAATTCCAAAGCCACCACCTTCTAAATGGCAGCCTCCTCCTACAGAATGGACCAAGCTGAACGTTGATGGGTCTCTATCTACGGCCGATGGTACTGCAGGTGTCGGCATGATATTGCGTGACCAGGATGGCGCCATCATCTTCTCGGCTTGCTGCTCTCTTTGGTCATGCCCCGACGTCCTGCATGCTAAGCTTGCTGGTTGCATGGAAGGATTGGCTTTGGCGCATCAGTGGACGGAACTTCCAATCATCCAGGAGTGTGATAGCAAGATGGCAGACGAGATGATCACATCAACAGAACACAATAGATCCATATACGCCATGGTAATTTCTGAGATCAAGTTTCTTTTGGGTCAAAGAGAGTGTATAGTTACTCATATTCCTAGAGAGCGAAATAATGTAAGTCATGTTCTAGCAAACTTTGGTAGATCGGAGAACCGCACGGTTGTTTGGCTCCGTTCTGGACCGGCTAATATCCCTAGTCTGTGTAGGGATGAACTTATTTGCTCTTGAGTAATACACATCCTTTTACCCCCGAAAAAAAAGTATACACATTTTCAATGCCTTGGTTTTGTACCGAAAAAGGGTTTCCCCCCGCTTTGTATACAAAGCAACCAACTGAACCATACAGGAATAGGTGCTGGGGCGGAAGCAGCACAGTCACGCCCAAAAGAAACGACAGAGAAAGAGCAAAAGAAACAAATGCCGACCACGGCGGATCAACAAAAATGAAGAAGCCTCGTGAACGCTGCGCCCACCGGGATCTTTCACTAGGCTCCAAGACTCCGAAGCGCCGGCACCTATCAACACCTCCAAGAAGGATCGCGACGATGACGACGCTGTTGCCAAGGGTTTCCCCTGGTACACGACGAGGCGAAAGGAAGGGTAGCCTCCGACGCCCTCCCTGAAGGTCAGGTGGCACCCACAGGCGCCACCGCGCCGGTGTCGGCCACGCCGACAAGGGTTTCCCCCGATCCCAACACACAACTCGGGCGCTCCGGATCCAGCCACCAGACCAACCATCACCCTGCGCCAATGCGGTCATGAGGCCCCCACGCCGTCTCACCACGGCACCGCGAAGTGAGGACAACGCGACGAAGAATCAGAGCCGGGACTAGGGCATCAGCATCGTCGGCACGCGGGAGGGCTCCACATCCACCATCCGCGACGGTAGCCGTCCAGACGCAATAGCAGGAGCACACCAGGCCCGTGGGCCCACAGGCCCGGTCGAGCCCTCGTGAGCCCGTAAAGCTCCCGCCCTCGCGCTGCTGACGGCACGCCATCGGCGCCGATGCCCCATATCCAAGCCGCTCCTCCTCCTCACCGCGCCGCACACAACGAGGCCACGACGGGGGGCCAGCCCGCTAGGACCCATATGGGGCCCGCTGGGCCCAGATCTGGGCCGGGATCGCGACGTCAGCCACCCGGCACCACCACGTCGCCCTGCCGCCAAGGAGCGGCGCCGACACCACGCCCTGCCGCCGGCCGCCGTTGCAGGG